CCCAACAAGTGCCGCCTATGTTACATATTGTATTGTATTATGTCTTTTAACACGTTAACAAATATGTAATAATATATAATAATAATAAAATAATAATCATCAATATTTTATCGCAATCTTTCGTTTTAAAATAAACTGTACATTAGGTTGGATCCTCGTCAATCGGTATTTTGAACAGATACAAATCATCTCGAGACTCGCGTTAACCACGATACTATAATACTATAGTGTTGCTTACCTCTGTGGTTTTCGACTGCCGGAAGTCCGTCGCCGGCAACCTGTCCGGCTGAATCCTGCAGGACGACCGGCTCCGCGACCGGTTCCCAGCAGCGTCCTCCAGGAAAATCCGGAYGAAAATCCCTCTCGTCGTCGTCGTAGTAGTAATCGTAACAATAGTAGTAGTTTTCGTTGTCTTCCATGTCGCAGCGGTTAGTTCAACTATCGCACTGTCCCTACATCCGAGAGTACCGGTGATATTTAAAAGGAGAGCTCTRAAGCGGAGCGCCGCCGCCATCGGTCTCGCGCAGTTTGTCCGCGGCACCGGCTCAAAGGGACCAGTTCACGGTCCGCGGCACCRCTCCCACRAACATGCGGACCTCGCACGTGTCCGACATTTATTGTAAAAACAATATTACGACAATGTCTATTTTGTAGGTACAGGATGACTCTTTTAACAGTTAACACTATTTGCTTCGAAAACTATTTTTAACGTTAGGTATTGAATTTTTGTTCACATAACAACATTGTTACAAAATTTTTGGTTTTTAACTTTTATTTCATATTCCGTAGCATAAWATGTGTATTAAAAATACAAATCTTTCAATGATATAAWTATTTTGGTAAAGACTTTAAATATACAATTTTTTAAAAACTTAATACTTTTTAAAATGGYCWGTTTTTGAATATCTTAACAACACTTCATTTAGGTAAAAATAAATTAATATTATGATATTAAAGATATTCTCCTTAAAACTATGTTCTGGATTGATTCCGAGCAGAACGAGTGCATTACACTCGGTTTCTTCTRTACCATCGGCTGCACCTATGCATACTATATTACTATTACAATRTTATTATAGAGTTAAAATTATTATTTTATTTTAAACTTGTGTGGGTTGCTTTTAAACATTATAAACATTTGTAAAAATTCATAGAATTTATTAATTACCATCAGTGCAATAAATTTTTATCCCAGATTTCATAAGCATTACATTATATTATTATATGAGCATCACATACATACATCTAACAGTATTATATTAATAGGGATCAATGTATCAATAACGTTATGATATCGTATATATATATTTTTTTTTATTGTTCTCAAGTCCGGCGACTAAGGTCATTAGCTGCTGTAGGGGTAAGGTTTTAGTACGGTAGGTAGCAAACACGTGTATGTGTGGCAAGGTTTTTTTTTAAACTTCTATGAACCCGGGTGGTCACCCATCCGGGAGCTAGTAGCTGGGAGAATCGTAAGTTCCTACACGAGAGTAACAGCTAGACAATTACATACGTTAATTCTTACATAATATGTGATGTGTAAGTTCCTACACGAAAAAAAAAGGTACGTATGTTAGTTCCTAGTCACTTCCTACACGGTGGTAGACAGGAACATATGTTAATTCCTACACGACGGAAGACAGGTACATGTGTAAGTTCCTATACTACGTATATTATAAATTATCAATCTACGTCTATAAAATACCGCCATACATTTTAACCCTTTATTCTATATAAAATATATTAAGTAATGCGTTCTATTTAATAATAATTCATAATTTTAAGAACATAATAATAGTGTGGAGTAAGTTATGATATAATGTAATCACGCTCGTTTGAATTTCTATACATAATTATTAAATATTATAAGGAATGCATTTCTTATATATTTTTTTTTTTTTTCACAATTATGAATTATTATTTTTAAAATTATTAAATTAATAAAATTTATTAGGTAAATTATTAAATATTATAAAGAATAAAGGGTTAAAATGTATGACAGTATTATTATATGATATAACTGATATTAGGTTGATAACTTATAATATACGTATTGTATATAGGAACCTTCATGTGCACCTTTTTTTACCGTGTAGGAACTTACATATACCTGTTTTTAATGTGTAGGAACTTACACATGTACCTGTTTTTTA